GTGAACTGGTACCACAGTGGTTGTGAGAAACCACTACCATGGTTCCATGCTCTTCAACTCCTTCATGTAACAGAAGGTTATACAGATCTGGATGGACTCAACAGATTAGAGACCTGTAAATCCTCAAAACTAATCCCTAAACAAACTCTTATATTTGCCCCTTTAGAATACCAGCAGCACTAATCTAGATGGAATTGGACTTCTCTCAAACAGAGGGCAATTTGACATAGCAGTTTTTAAAAGTATAATTTCTCAAGAAAACCATGTGTCAAAAATTATGCTGAGCCCAATTAAAGAACTATAAAGACTTGGATTTTGCATACCATAGAGTTTGTCTCTGGTTGTATTCAACCAGAATTTTGTTCATTTCCTCTAGTATATGTTCATGGACTAATAAGGTTTTCCTTTAGCTAGCACTAGGCAGTAAGCTAACCAACTGGCTCTTCAATCTGAACACTATCCTTGACAGGCTCTCCAAAAATTTTTCCTTATTACTTTTTGAGATACATAATTGAATAGGTAATATACTTCAATGGCACAAAATTAAGAAAGTATACAACTCCACATCTTGCTTTTTTTACATATGGTACCATGGATAATTTTACATATAAGTACATAAAGAGCTTTCTCATTCAATAAATGTACCTTATTTATTTGATCAGTTCTTTATTAATGGACAGCTGGTTGTTTCTAATTTTTTGTTATTACAAACAATGTACACACAGCAGTTTACACCTATGTACACATACTGGAGGAGAAATTCCTAGAAGTGGAATGTTGGGATCAAAGTCTTTTATTTGCAATTTTTATAGTTCTTGCAAAATTGCCCTTAATTGACTAATTGTACTCCCACCAGCAATTTATGAGAGAACTCTCCCCCACCTTTGTCAACACACTGTATTACCAATACTTCTATACTTTATCAATGTTATCTCATTGTAGTTTTTATTAGTATTCGCCAATCATGAGGTTAGATACTATTATTGGCATAGAAGCCATTTATTCATTTTGATACTCATGGTACAGGTACAGGGCAATTACAAATGCTCCTAGATCACTCTATTTTCAGAGTATCCTAAACTACTGTCTTGATAGATGCTCAATGAATTTTGTTCATTTCCTTTTATTCTGCACCATTTTTTTCTAGAACTATCCCAGGTATTTCTCCAGCATCCATTTTATTTTAAAACTAGTATCATTAGGAGCTAACACAATATCTGGCACAATAGTAACAGCTTTAAAAAATGTGGAACAAATCAATAAGAACAATAACAGAATCATTTACTTACTACTTTACATGGCTATGTATTCCTATAATTATTTCAGTCTGCTTTTGCAATGACAATTTCAAAATTAAGGATAAAGCTGGTGTAGACATGACAGTTTAGGTGCCACCATAATCTGTTGCTCTGAAAGTTTTTGTGCAACCTTCTATTATACAGAGAAATTCACTGCTTTATTCTTTCTTTAAACTAATTTAAAAATATTTTATTTTTTTATTTTTAGAGAGAGGGGAATAGAAGGAGAAAGAGGAGGAGAGAAACATCAATGTGTAGTTACCTCTTGTGTGCCACTCCTGGGGACCTTTCCCACAACCCAAGCATGTGCCCTGACTGGGAATCGAACCAGCGACCCTTTGCTTCGCAGGCTGGTGCTCAACCCACTGAGCCACACCAGCTAGGAATATAATTAACTTTTAAGACCACATGGCATTTATTTCTTGTTTAGTAAGACCTGAAATGGTTTTTGACCAAAAGTCTGTTGACCACTGTTGCAGGGGGCGCAGTGGGAACAATTTTCCAAGGAAGGGGGAGGTGAGAAGAGGACACATTTAATGTGATTTATCTACACTCTCTTGGCCAGATCCATTTGCGACCATGTGCACACAGTTGTGGGACACCCGACTAAGGTTCTCACGGGGAAGAGAACAGAGTTTACAGAATCTGTAACACTTGATTAAATTATTAACTTTGTCTCATTAGCACCACACTCTAACCACTTCACATGGGAAAGTATTATATAGGCATTTGTCACTCACCATATAAATATTTCCTGAAAAACTTGGGGATACAAAGACTTCATCATTATAATCACCACCAATAGTAATACTAGCTAACACTTATGGAATGTTTACTCTTGTCTAATTGTTTTACATCTATTAATACATTTTATCATTCCATTTTACAAATAAGAAACCTAAAGGAGAGTGAAATTAGGTAACTTGAATCAGGTGAAGTAGCTATTAAATGTTTTACTCTGATTGGTGCTGAGCCCAAGCAGCCAGGCTCCAGAACTCACTCTCAAATGTGTTTTGTTTTTCAATTCGCAAAAGAGAAAAGGCTCTTTTTTGAAACGCACTCTTGAAACTCCAACAGGAGCCTTCTAAATTGTCAGTGGTCAGCGATGACACCAAGTGGTAATCAAGGTGTACTGCAGGCATCTCGACGTAAATCACTCCTGCCCAAGCTCTCCCAAATAAGTACTATATTGCAAGAGCCAATATGCTGGCACTACAGAGAGCTTCATGGCAAACCTGTTTATAAGCAGATTGTCATCCTTCAAACCAACTTTTTCCTTTGTCAAAGAAAGAGGCATCTTTCCTAAGGTTAGCATGTATTTTGCATGTCATTTCTATCTCCCTACATGTTTCTTTCCTTTTCTTTTTTTTAGATTTTCTTTATTTATTTTTTAGAGAGGGGACGGAGGGGGGAGGGGGGAGAGAGAGAGAGAGAGAGAGAGAGAGAGAGAGAGAGAGAGAGAGAGAGACATCAATGTGCGGTTGTTGGGGGCCATGGCCTGCAACCCAGGCATGTGCCCTGACTGGGAATCGAACCTGCGATGCTTTGGTTCACAGCCCGAACTCAATCCACTGACCTATGCCAGCCAGGGCCAGATTCACCTTCTTAAAAAAAGAGTTCTAATAAAGAGATTCCCTTGTTTAAAAGCATTAATTTTTTTTTCAATCACTTTCTGAACTAAGTACAAACCTCAGTTCAACATTCAGGACCCTCCAAAGTCGGGTTTCAATTTACCACATGGTTATTTCTTCCACAAGTGCCTTACATTTCCTTACCCTAAGCTTCAACCTCACAGTTCCTCCTTTGTGACTTTTTTTCACAAGGTGTTTCCTCCACATGGATTTTCCTTTATCAGAAGACTCAACATAACCTGATTCAATCAATCACATTTTAATTATTTTCATTAAATTATAATTCTTTGTAGTTACTTGGGCTATCCACCACCCACCCACCCATACACTATGAGTGCCTGAAGGCAGGGACCAAATATTTACAGGTGCACAAGTAAAAATTAACTTGGACTTAGAAAGCAGACATCCAGCCAGTCATTAGGCTGCAATAACAGACACTAATAAAGCCAGCTGAAAATTTAACAGAGAACAGTATTTCTCCCAAAGACACGTCACTGTAAAGTGATAACAACCCCCTTTTAAGTGAACACCACTGTTTTCATTCACTGAGAAACTTTGTTGTTTACAATTAGAAACTATAAGAAACTTGCTGCTTGAAATCACAGTAGTGAGAATAAAACAACCCACATTTGTCTGGAGGGCATACGTTTCTTGGACACAGAGAAGCAGCCTTGATTTCCAATCCAGGTGCAGAGCTTCACAGATAAGAGGTGTTGTGTGGACACAACATTCCAGATCTATCTTTACTTTGTGGTTCCCAAGGAAACAGGACTCTGGGCTCACTTTGCAGGCCAGACCTGACGTTGACCCCTTCACACAGCCCTGCTTTGAGCTTACCAAAACAATTCTTCATTTAAAATTCGCCTGAACTTCTTTATTCCCTGTAATTCCTATTATGACTCTTTTTCTTTGGTGAGATGTCCCACAGTTTTTCTGGTGTGGGGATCTCCCTCATTGCAATGGGTCCAAAAGTCTGACTTTTTGGATTACAGATTTGTCCTTAGTAGCTTTGCTCTGACTGAATATTTTGTATCCCTAGCCCCTTAGCTTGCCCAACATAGGCATTCAAAATTGCTCACTCTAGTAGACTCGGAATTAGAGTACTTGGGTTCTAGTTAAATTACTTAGACTGATTATATCGATTACAGTCTCAGTCCTACCAATAACTAATTAGCAGGATCATCTTATATAAGTTAAATGCAGCCCATTGGCCTGTTTTTTTTTTCCTTCTGTAAAATGAGGGGCTGTTCCAATACTAGGGCAAGGGCTTTGGCAGCAGGTAAACCCAGGTTGGAATCCCAGTTCTACCACTACTAAGACCTGTGATGTTTGCTTTTCTGAGCCTCCGTTTCTATTTTAATAATTAAAAGGGATATAATACTAAAAACTGCCTTGTGGATATTCCAGTGCAATGAGGATCAAGTTGGTCGTTACAAGAATCACTATATTTGATTACTATTTCTACTCCTATTATGTGAACTAGGACAAGTTAACCTTTCTGTGTCTTTGTTTTTTTGTAAATAAAAGTGGACAAGTGATAGCACGTAACCCAATGGGGTTATTGTGGGCATTATTAAATGAGATGAAAAAAGTAACGGGCTTGAATAGCGTCTTACATATTATTAAGAGGCTCAAAATACGTAAGCTAATATAATTAGTATTCTATTTCTACTACTATTCTGTGGCCAGAACCTCGGGACAAACAATTTCACTCTACGGACAAAACCAAAACACGTAACGCAGGCTCAGAACTTTGAGACGTAATGCAGTATTTCTCTTTCAAAAGTAATTGACACGCCCAGCACTAGGTTAGGATCCGCCTAGTCCTCATTAAATATGGCAGCGAGCGGGGACGCTTATTGCGGCTGCGCACGCGGAAACACCTCCCAGCATCTAGATCTCAGCTGCAGTCTCGGCTCCACAGCCTCCCAGGCTGGCGTCGCCCCCGCCGGGCTCGGCCGAGGTGTGGAGGGGGCCTGCCAGGGCGCGCAGGCGCAGACGTGCTTGGCGGATACTTGGCCAGGCGCCTGTCACATGAACCGCGCGCCCGCTCAGCTCCCTCTCCTCCCCACGGGGCTGTGAATGAAGCTCGCCGGCTACGTGGGGCGCTAGCTCAACTTGGTGTTCTGAACGCCAGAGCCGAGAGAGCGCTTGGCCTGCCAGTGGCAGACACAAGCTCCACGCTGCTGACCTCGGCGAAAGGTAAAGACAGATGAGCTGTCGGGTCGCTAGCAGGTCCTTCGCGGCCCGCTGGCCCCGGACCCATCCCCGGAGGACCCCCTGGGCGCAGCGACACTGGGAAGCGCTTCCCGGCTGGTTCGGCCCCCAGGAGATGGGGGTGTCCCCATGCCCGGCCGCCGCCGCCTGGCACTCAGAGTTAGATCGGCTAGTTCTAGCCAGTGCAGGGCGGCATCTTCTCGGGAGCTCAGCCCTAGTCTACGAGCCAAGGGTCCCTGCGCTGTCCCAGCAAAGTTTTCTTGCGGAGCGACACTAAGCCCTACCCGCTCTTGAATGGGGGAGGTTAGCTGCAGACGTCCCCTTTCCAGGACTGGAGCAGAGTGGCTTTAGTTGGTAAAGCTCTGTCAAGGCCCCGTTCTTTATCCTGCTCTAGATTCTCAGGTTGGCGTGGGTCTTAGAGAAGGAGTACAAACTCTCGGAAAACTAGTTGCTGCGAGTTTTCCTTTTCCAAATTAAGGAGGGTAACCGGTTCTCTCCAGACTTTCCCCGCTTGTGCCTGAGAGCCTTCAGCACGAAGGGCTTTCTTTTCACATTGATGCGCCTTTACCATTATACATTTCAGAGCAAATCAGTTTCCTGGACTGCCAAGTGAAGCTGTACGTGTGCTTGTGTGATAACGTCAGTGTAAGCTACCTCGAAAAGATGAGGGAAATCCAGAAGTGTGGAGCATAAAAAGCCAGTGAGAATGAGCTTTATGTAAACTCCATACATTTTCAGCAATTATCTGGGCTAGACTTAAGAGATGTTAAATTTCATCTGATCTTACCAGGCATAGATCACTACTATTTAATTGCAAAAGAAGGCAGACCCAAAACTGTCCCAGGTTCCAGATAAGTCATCAGGGCGCTCCCCCCATCCCCCTGGCGAATCCATCTTAGGAGTTTGTGAACTTTTCCTTATTCAACGCATCATCTTTTCTCTGTTGGTGTTTTTGGGACTAGTGTACACATTCACACTTTGTCCTTAAAAAAATTCATTAAAGAAGGCCAAAATGATGACTGTCAAGTTTGTATTAGTCTTCAGTACTGCACTAGTGCTTTCATTTCAGGGTGGAGGTGTTGCTTGTGTAAAAGCTATGGAAATAGCAATGTACTTTGATGTTCACCAGGTCAGAAAGGTGAGGACTTCTCTAAAAATGCAGGTTGGCTCATATGCTAAATAAGGAAGACCTATTTATTAATTAAGAACTTGTTTAAATAAAGAAGCAAAGTGTTTAATATATTAAATCTTGAAATCAAAGTAGCCAGACCTTTCATTTTTTTGTCCCATTCCTAGCACCTTTTATATCCTTGCTAGTAGTATTGTCCTAAGACTGAATTTGACGTTTCAAAAATAGGAATGAGCTGAATTAATTTGACTTTACTTAAATTACTATTTTCTTTTTTTCTTTTTTTTTGGATCTCCCACCCCCCCGCATTATAAAAGCAACAACTGCTCCCCATAGGACACTGGCAAAGTGTGGCAAAGTATAAGGAAGAGCCACCCAGAGGGCATCACTCTTTTTATTATGCTTCCTTTCTTTTCCTAACACAAGATCTATTTTAAACTTTAAGCAGTCACAAAATTTGCTGTCCCTTCTACATTTTTAAAAATGTAAACTTGGGAGTTTGGAGAGGGCAGATATTATGTTGCTCTTCATTTCCAAAAGCATGGAATGTAAAGATAGGAAAGATGCTTAGCGATGATCTCATCCAACCACCCATCCTTCGAGATTCTAAAAATCATTTGTTGAAGACCCAGTGATTTATGTAGAATTGGGCAGCACTCAGTGACAATATGAACTGACTCTAGATCTCTCCATTTTATCCTTCAGTGGTCCCTTGCTGCTTAGGGGGAGATCTTGATACTATCTGTGTCAGTATATCTTTGAAAGAGAGGTTCAGGGAGGAATAGGAGACAATTTTCAAGGATTTGAAATTTTTTTTTCATTTAGATACCTATTTTTATTTTTACATTTTTAGGTTTGGGGTGTGAGCATCTGGAAGAGAGTAAGGCTATACTGCTGGTGTTCCACTTATATCCCATTCAAGCTTTCCAACAACACTGGGGTCTCTGGGAAACTCTGAGCCTGTGACCCCAACGTGGGAGTGGATAGGATCAACATGGCCATGTGGCAGGGTAAGAAATTAGCACTCATTCCTCTAACTGGTTTTTCTTCCTTCTCCATCCTCCATCCCTACCCCCCTCCCTGCTAGTGGCAGGCAGCCAGCTGTTTCTTTAATTTAACCCTTTGTCTTCACAAGGACAAAGCATATTAGTTTAAAAGAAGCCACTGCTTGCTAGAAGTTAAAATTATTTTAAAGTGGGCATGGAGGGGTGATGGGAGAAGTAGAAGGAAAATATCTTGCCAGAAGCATTTTCAAAAAACTCCCTTTGTTTGAACATGTGCTTGTGGGGAGATATATGTTAGGAAACTGGATATTTTTTTCATATTTGTGCCTTTCATTGGTTTGTGGCAATTTTTTTTTATCATAAGGTTCTCAAAGGTGGGGGAGATAGATGTTGACACCTCTCTGGCTTCCTCTTCCCAGTAAAGACTTTAAAGCATATTTAAAGTTACAATGTTTATGGTTGGCGACAGAAAGAAATTGCCTATTTTAATGTTATGAACTACTTGAGAGCAAAGCTCAATGATATCTTGCCTGGATTACATCTCTTGTGAACCTGTGAATTGCTACCATTCAGAGTTATGTTTTATTTTTGGTGGAGTTGAGGATTGGGCCCTTTGGGAGAGTATCAGAATCTCCAGGGGTGTGTAGGATTTTTATGTTTATCAAAAAGGAGTGTAGGTTTAAGAAATGATAGATAAACCCTACCCAAATTGTCTATGACCCCCAAAAGGTTAAAGATGGGGTAGAATGAAGAGCTCAGATGTCTATAAATATACAACATGTAGGTTTGTTGGTGGTCTAATGTAGCTTTTAAAACTGTCTACTATCAGTTATGGCCTCAAGTATGTAGTTACACAAATGTAACAAACTGTTTTTGATGTAAGAGGATTGTCAAGTTAAAGACATTTGTTGAAATGGAATTTGGCCTGTATGCCTGCTTTGACTCATATAATGGGCAATTATCAGGAGCAGCTTGAATATTCTTGTTCAAATCCTGATATATTCTTTCATCCAGCAAACAAAATACAGAAATGAGTAAGTCAGGGAACCCTAGACAGTTCCTTGTCCTATGAGAAAGAGACAAAAACTGTGTCAGGCTGAATGAGTGTTATAATAGGGAGAGGTACAAAATGTGATAGACGCCCAGAAGAAAGCATAATGAACTCTGAGTTTTGAGCTGGTCTGAAAAAAAAAAAACAAAAAAACGAGTGGGAGTTTGCCAGATGGGCAAATGAGAGAATTGAATTCTGGGCAGACAGAGAAGCACTGTTCAGGAACTTCCAAGTTGCTCCATTTGCCTCATGTGAGATGTGAGGGGCTTGACCTCAGATGAAGCTGGGAAGGTAGTAAGGGGGCCAGATAAAAGAAGAGCCTTGTGTGTTCTAGGGAGGACTTTACACTTTATCCTGAAGACAAAGATTCTAAACAGGGAAGTAATATAATCAGATTTTGTTTTAGAAAGATGACTTTGGCAGCAGTGTTGAAGTGGGGTTGAAGCTGGAAGGAATGAAAGTTAAGAGCCATTTGGGAAGTTTCTGGTATAGTGGTTTAGGTTAGAGATGGTGAAGGTCTGAGCAGAAGCAGGGGCAACAAAGATAGAGAGAATGGAATGAATTCTAGAAATGTTCTGTGACTGGATGTGGGAGGAAGTGAGCCTCAGTTGACACCCAGTTTGGGTGCCTGAGCAATTGGTGCTATTCACTCAGATAGGGAATGTGGGAGGTGATGAGAAGGCCAAAGAGATGGTGGGAAGTTACTGTACCTTGTTTCGTTGGCTTGTTTTGTTTGAGACACTGTGGGCTGTCAGGTCAATTCTGAAAGTATGGAACTGGAGTTTGTGCAGGTGGGGATCTGAAATTTTGTTCCAAATGGTGCATGAAGAGTTTGTGTGTTTTCTCTGTATTTAATGCAGATGTCATTAGTAGTGAATTATTTATTTATTTTATAACACAGACATGTTAATGGATAACAATTTTCAATAAAAGGTAATTCATTATTTTATTAATAACTAATATATTTTGCTATCCCAGGCCCTGAAATATCTGTTTAAAATTACATTGGAGTCAAACCTATTTTTTTCTACCATTAGTGAAGAGGGGAGTATTACACATAAGTAACTGTACCTCATTTCTTGTTTTCTGTAGCCTCTGAAGTGGCAAGCATAGTACAGTGATAGTTTGGGTGGCAGTATGGTATAATAGTTAAAAGTATGGGTCTGGATTCAACTCAGTTGGTTCCATCATTTGGTAGTTGTGAGACCTTGGGCAAGACCATTAACCTCTCTGTGTCTCAGTTTTCTACTGTGTAAAATGGGGATAATAACAGAACTTACTTTATAGGGGTTTTGTGAAGATTAAGTTAATATATGCAAAGTACGTGGAACTTAGTAAGTGTCCTATAAGTGTGTGTGCCATTATTATTAGTGGTGACATGATGTCTACGATATTGTATATCATATAATAAGTGCTTAGTAAAATTTAACAATAGATGTTTGTATTCCTACTGCTATACTTCTATGGCTACTATTATTATCACTATTATTTTGTTATAGCCAGGGTTAGGATTGGGATCCTGGTCTGTGCAAGGGATTTCATGTTGTCCTCGGAAGCCCTGCCTTGTGGTAGTCTGTTTGGATCTTTAAGAAGAGGTTTAGAGCTGAAGAGATCCTTAGAAAACATCTACCCCAAGCCCTAGAGGTTAAGTGACATGCCCATGGTCAAATAGGTTAGTAGTAGTGATAGGACTCAAACTCAGGTCTCCTGATTCCCTACTCTAATTTTCATTCTATGGGCTCATACAAGAGGTTATGTATAGGCTCTCCAGCTCAAGGAAGCTCTGAGTCAGTCTCTGGAGCTAGCTGAGGAACTCAAAGTGCTAGAGGAAGCCAAGTTTCCTTAGTTTCTCAGGTCAGCGCTGTCCAGTTCCTTCATGGAGAACTGGACCAGAATTTCCATACCCCTTTAACATGACCAACATTATTATTTTGACTTCATTTAATGGAGCCCTCTAATACATTTCCTGGCCACTTTAAACAGAGTGTATTGGTCACAATTTAATATTTTTGATAACTCAATTTTAATAACATCAGTTTTATTGTCCTGATAGTCAAGAAAATGTTGAAGAGAAGACTACTTTGTGATGGTATGAAGCTGGGGACTTGTGTTGTCACTGTTATTTATTTATTCAGTTAACATTTATGACGTACCAGCTGTGCACTAGGCACTAGGCCTTAGAGATAAAATGGTTGGTAAAACTAGGTATGGTCTCTGCTCTCATGGAGCTTACCAAATAAGATAAAGGTAGTATTTCAAATTCATGAAATGATTTAGTACTTAACAAATACGCTGAAATAATTTGGAAAAATGATACCAATGTAAATTTAGACAAGTTAAAATAGTTTCTTAATAAAGGAGGGGATGTCTCAGAATTGCCTGTGGTGCTCTTAACAGTATTTCTGCTCAAGCTTTATCTCCCAAATTGTGACTCAGCCTTAATATGTGAGCATTTAAAGAAGCTCTGCAAGCAATTCCAATATATAATCCTGTTTCAGAACAGCTGCATTAAAGAAGGGGCTGGAAAGAAGTATTTGAAGTCATGAAAGGCAAGGACCTACATTCAAGATTACTCTATCCAGCAAACTATCATTTAGAATGGAAGGGCAGATAAAGTGCCTCTCAGATAAGGTCAAGTTAAAGGAGTTTATCATCATCAAGCCCTCATGATATGAAATGTTAAAGGGACTTATCTAAGAAAAAGATGATAAAAATATGAACAATAAAATGACAACAAACTCGTAACTATCAACAACTGAACCTTAAAAAAACAACAAAAACAAAAACTAAGCAAATAGCTAGAATAGGAAGAGAATCACAGAAATGGAGATCACATGGAGGGTTATCAGTAGGGAGGGGGAGAATGAGGGAAGAGGTACAGGGAATAAGAAGTGTAAATGGTAGGTACAAAATAGACAGAGGGAGGTTAAAAATAGTATAGGAAACAGAGAAGCCAGAGAAGTTATAGGTATGACCCATGGACATGAACTAAGTGGGATTGGGGGGTAGGTGGAATGCTGGAGGGTTGGGCGCTCCAGAGTGGAGGGGGGGATGGGGGAATTGGGAAAACTGTGGTAGCATAATCAATGAAATATACTTTCAAAAATAAAACATAAATGATTAAAGAAAGAATCTTAGTTTTTTTCAAAAGAGAGAAATGATAAAGGAACTAAAAATATAGGAGGATACATAATCTTGAAATAGGGAATATATTTATATGCATAATATGAAAATATTAAAAAATATTACTATAATCAGCTATATGAAAAAGTTAAATTTCTGCACAAAACCATAAATAAAGTTAATGAGAGAACTAGAAACAGTTGACACAAGTCATTATCTTTAATACATAATGACTTACAGAGCTGTAAAAAAACAAGTATTTTATTAGAAAAATGTGCAAAGAATGGGAATTAAAAAATACATAAAAGAAATTCAAGTTGTCAGAAAAAGTGAAAAAATGTTGTTAGTAGTAAAGAAAGGAGAATTAAAATGACATACCATTTTCTCAAGTAAAATATGCAAAGATTAAAAAGGAATGAATGGTGTCTGGCTGCCAGTGATCCAATATGTTGGAGGAGTAAGTGGAAGCTACAGTAACCTCCTCCTGGGACCAATCTGGAATTACAACTAAATTGTGGAGAAATCATCCTGGATAACCAACTGAATGCTAACTTGAGAGAAGCCTTATAACCACTGACAGGGAGAAGAAACCACTTCACCACAATGTGACTGGTAGAGAGTGAGGAGAAGGTGTGAGAGGGCTGGCTGGGCTCCCATGGGGGACAGCTGAAGATCTGGAGCAATATTTCAGCAGTCAGAGGTCTGCCCTAAGAAGTGTGGTGTCTAAACCTCAGCTGGGCTCCCCAGCGTACAGCACCAGAGCTGAAAAGGAACCCAGATAACATCCATCTGTGAAAAACAGCAGCTGTATCTGTCTACCAGGGAGAGACAG